CACACACACACACACACACACACACACACACACACACACACACACACACACACACACACACACTTTATGGATGATTTTTAGGGCTAAATTTCTAGTATTATACAGGAATAAATACAGTAAGTTGTCTGAAACATTATAGTGTGACAGGGTCTTAAGAATTTAACCGGGTCAGAAATATGTATACTGAGGAGCACAACTGCACGTTCCTCTGTATAAAAATAAAAACAAATAAACACCATCTACCAGCTGTAGTTTGTAGGCTACCAGTTGGCAACATGCTCATTGCTGTTCGGAACAGATCAAATGCACTCTGAATGAAAAGTGAAACAAAGTATCATGGGTGGAAGTAGAACTGATATTAAACACACATGAAAAAACAACTGTCTAAATAAAGACCAAGAAAAATGTAAGAAAWAGTTGGAATATCTGTTTTTCCTTGGATGACCAAAAAAAGACTAATATAGTGATCTACCTTATTGGCAATGCAGGTAAATAYTTGATTAAAATATATTCAATACATTGATCAGTTTTCAATGATATTTTTGACAAATCCAGTTGAGGAAGCAAATTTGTAAATTTTCTCTTACTGTGGAGCAGAAACCATAATACAGGCAAGCTACAGTTTTGGAGACAACTACCTATTAAGATTTAAACTTATTTACACATTTAGCTATGTGGAAGCTAAACCTTCTGAGCCATGAAAATAGATTGTATTGTCTGGCGYGCATTTTCTTTTGTGTTCTTCTGACTCATTTATCGTCTTTAGTTGCCAGTCTGTGTCGAGCATGATAGTGCTTGCATATTTCAGACTGTGTCCTTTCCTCTCTCTGGTGCACAGATACAGTGTTTTACAACAAATTGTTGCTTATTGTTTGTTTTAGTTCTCTAAAAGATCTCTGGAATCTAGGGTGTATTTGTAATKAAAACATTCAGATTGTATTCTGTCATTGCCAGCATATGAAACTAAAAAGCCTTTTTATTAAAGTAATTAATGTAATCTGAACAGTAATATATCTTCTTTTGTATWATTCCAGTTCAACCTAAAATGTATATTTAGGTGCAGCTGAAGTAATGAAAAGAATGGTAATATAAACATTTTATCTTTCTAGGATTGGAAGTTTAGTCTTCAGGGAGGTGTTTTGTCTGTCATGATGTCAGTATAAGCTTTGGAGAAAACTAAACTGTTTGCAGCTACAACCAGAAAAACAKGCACTATCTGTGCGTTTTGTCATTCATGTTATCTGTCCTTGGTCAATGGATGCCACTCTGACTGTAACAGTAAGATTACACAGGATTGAAAACAAGAGTTGGAACAACTGAAGTTTAAAAGAAGTCTGAAGAAGTCTCTTGGAAGAGAGACGAAACGTTTCATTAAAGAAGAACCCGTCCAGAGAACCTATACAATTTTTTTTCCTTTTTTTTTTCCTTTCAACTGAAGTTTACTTTAACCAGAAGATRTGATGATTCTAGTTGAAACCCTCATTTATCTCTAAATAGCTCCAGTTAAATTTAATCTGCATTTAGCTCAGGTTATATACTTCTTATAATAATTTATATACAACACAGACTGCTAGAAATGTGCAAGAAAAATGTAAGTAAATCATTCAGATATACAAGAGAGCACAAAACACTGACTAAAACAGGGATTCAAGCCTCAATTTTGTGATTTTAACATCAATATGTCAGAAAAACAAAACAAAATCTAATATTTGGTAATATTGAGCAGTTTTTTTCTTCTAATTAAAACTGATGTAAAAATGTAATAAAAGATGATTTATTTGCGTGAAACTTCAAACTAAACCAGCTTTGTGCAGACAATCTGATCCAACAAAGACTTAATGAAAAACGGAGGTAAATTTGTATTTGAAAGAAAACAAAATAAATAAAAAAAGAGATGGAGGGAAATCAGTGTGCAATTTGAATGACAAAATGTGACATGTGCAGAAACAAATGGTCTTGTATTCAGAGTGTCTGTCAGTGTGGCTCTTTTTAAAAGCCCCAGATTGAATTTGAATCCTATTTAAGGCATGTTTTTTTATTATTGGATCAGCTAATGTACATTTAATGTCTAAGTCTCATATGAAATCGAATCAAACCCAGTGTGCTTCATATTAAGACCTTAAAACATAGAACAGTTTTATATATACATTCATACAGACACATTCTATGGGGCGCTGTGTGTAAAATAAAACATTAGAAAACAACACTAAAACATTTTGAACATTTAGTTCACTTTCTGAGTGTAAAGCAGCCATTGGGTGTGCTCTTCTGGTGCCGGTCCCCAAGCCCAGATAAATGGTGAGGATTACATCAGGAAGGGCAACTGGCGTAAAACAAACACGTGGATTACAAAATATAAGACTTCCAAACTGGATCGATCAATGCTCGGGTTAACAGCGACCGCCTCTGGTGTTGTTGACCAGCAGGGTACTGATGGAAATTGGGCTTATTTCTTTTAACTCATGGACTTAATGAAGGAGGACATGGAGATGGTTGGTGTAACAATAGAGGAGGCAGGAGATGGGATGAAATKGAGGCAGATGATCCGCTGGGGCGGGAGCAGTCGAAAGACAAAGAAAAACTCTTCTTACATTTGACTAGTTGTTACCAAATGTTAAATTTAAATGTCAAATAATATACAGTATGTAAATATTAAATCCTAAATCTAAGTTAAAATGTGTTCATTGAAAACAAAAAGGATGGTACCTGTGGTGTGGCAGTTTGAAGTGCAGCTCAGACAACGGCCACAACTGCGAGTTTGATGTCTTGTAGGGAAGTGTTAGCAGCTTTCAAGCGTTAGCGGTTRCTGTTGTCACAGGACGATGACATCCTAACAAGAGCTGAACACTAATGGAAAAAAAGGCTGCGTTCCATTCCTAAACACCTACAAATACTTGAAAATTAGCTCAGTGTAAGAACAGTAATCTAAATAACAATCAAAAAGTAGTTGAAATTTTTTTCACTAGGATTTTATGCTCAAAGTGAGCTAAATGATAAGATAAGATAAAATAAGAAGAAAAGATAAGATTAGATAAGATAAGATAAAACTTTATTGATCCCACAGTGGGGAAATTTGCACATTACTGCAGCTTCATACAGGAGAGGCTGAGAATAATGAAAGATAAATAAAAGATAACAAACAAAAACAATCCCACAATATACACATGTGATATATAGTAATGTACATATACCAATGCACATATACACATATACATAAACACATATGCATATTTACATAAAGATAAACTTTATTGATCCCACAGTGGGGAAATTTGCACATTACTGCAGCTCAATACAGGAGAGGCTGAGAATAATGAAAGATAAATAAAAGATAACAAACAAAAACAAAATAACCCACAATATACACATCCTACCTTCTCACATACATATATTAATTATATATGTATTATATGTATGTTAATTTTATATATGTGTGNGCACCCCGGATTATTTCCACACTGAATCATGAAAGTGTTTTGAACAAATACTAAACTTTCACTTTTAGATCCAGTTTAGCTCCATTTCAACCACAGTTTGATAGAGACTCTGTGGACTTACCAGATTTATACCTGCATGTGTTAAAAACAAGCAGTGTTGGGTTTTGTRAACAAGAAACAAAAAATGAAATTAAAAAGATAAGTATCGTATTGAATAAGACTGACTGAAATACATTTTTGACCCTTAAGTTGTGTAACAGTCCAGACATGAGCAGGGTCGAGCTGTGTGGTTGTTTCTGGTTTTTCCTGCAGAATTTAACTCGGCCTGCTGAACAATGATAATTATGCTGACCAGTCTCAGCCTCCCTGCTACTATAATTAGACATCCGTCATTATCCGTGTTGGCTCTTAAACAGGCAATTTATCTGTAACTTTTGGTTAGATTCAAGTCAGTAGAGTGAAATACAAAGAAGTGAACATAAATCCAGGCTGTTTGGTGATAATCCGTGTGGAAAGCTGTGCTCATGTCTCCATCACATCGTTATTTATTTATTTATTTTCCTTTTGTCTCCGTCTTCAACACATTTATGTCTCCTCTCTCCACAGGAGCTGTCAGGGTTTTATGCACATGAAGTTCTCCCAGTGTAAAGACGGGAAGTACGTGCTGGGACAGAACAGCCCTCTGTTTGACACCATTCCAGAGGCCATCCACTTCTACACCACGCACAAGCTCCCRGTCCGAGGCGCCGAGCACCTGTCTCTGCTGTTCCCTGTGCAGGTCCAGACACTTTGACCGACCCGGACTCTGCTCCGGCTGAACCTCGAGGATATTTATTGCGATCAGACGCAGAGAACTTGAATGTTAGACGGGAGAACCTCAGCAGTGCGTCGTTGAATAAAAGCACACAGGAAGCTCTTGCCCTCCGACATCATCTGTTGAATTCATACCCCGAAAAGAAAAATAAATCATGGGGTGTCAGTTCACATGAAATGCAATACCTGACTGTCAGGCACCTTTGCTGTAACTCCTCCCTCTCATTTTTGTGTTTAACCRAGCAGGCTGACTTCAGCACAGCTCCTGTGTTTCTGTCACAGTTGATGGAAACGCACCAGAAGCTCCTGGAGAAAAGTCTGGGTTTTGTGTGAATGTATCGAGAGTCCAGGTCACTGAAGATGAGAGGAGGGCTGATTTTAACTTATTGCTGTACCAGTACTCGTAAGAAAATCTTGCTGTTGTTGGGTGAAAACCTTGAAATCCATGATGTGCAGATGCTTTTTGTGCTTTTAACTGAATCAGTAAATCGCAGTAAATAAGATGAAAAGCCCTGCTGTTGGGAAACCATTTTCTGTGCTGCAAAGAAACTATTTTGAAAGAAGTCCAGTTGGTTTGTTTTTTATTACCACCTTCATAAGAATCTACACCAGCATATTTCAAAAGGTTTTTTTTTTACCTCCTTGTGTTTTTCTATTAAAATCACATCTTTTCATTTMATTTGGTCCTTTCTGTATTTTTGCTGAAGGTTGTTTACACACTGTGACTGGTGAAGCTCTTTGTGTGGTGTGGGCGGAGTTTGGGGAAATCATGACTGGTCGTGCTGACTTGCGGGGGAAGTTAAAAATATGATTGATTATACTGTATATGCTTACAGGAAGTATTGACCGTTGCAACACTGTTGGTGTATATTACTAAAATTATTGTGAACACATAAATATAAATTAATGCCTTCAAATTTGGTGCAGCTAACACCTTCCTGACTGGATTTATGAGTAATATTCAAAATTACCGATTTTTTTATCTCTTCTTTCTGGCCATTTCAATTGAGTGGAAGCTGCTTGGCATTCATCCACCTGAACTGTTAGTCTTCCTCAAACCCCACCCAAAATAGTCAATCTGACCAATCACAATTTCCCCAAACTACACCCACACCCAAGAAACTTCGACTTGATGACTGCGGTGAGTGACCCTTCTTTCTGTTAGCTGATTGTTTGGTGATTGAGGGGACTGTGTTGTATCAGTACTCTTGATTTATCCCTTGTTGTCTTCAGGTTCAGACAGGTTTTAAAGCAGAGCTACATACATACCAAGCAAAAAAAAAATTGAATGTTGGCTTTGTTTTTAGTCATTTTCTCACTTCCTACAGATTTTTGGCGTGTCGACTCATCACAGGCTGCATAGCGAGTTAAAACCAACGCTCGCCGTCTGGGATGGATTTAAATGTCAGCTGCGTGGCTGCATTGTTTCTAGATTCCAACAAATTTTAGGGGAAAAAACACGTTTGGAGCACCACAAAAATAAATTATAAATAAAATAAAATTTGTCAAAGTCATTGTTTCTTGATCCAGAAGTCTAAACCAATAAAACAGTGGCGTTGCACAGATGGCTGCTGTGTTGAGTCTCATTTGCGTTTAAAACCAAATGTTTCTTAAAAAAAACCTTCAGTATGATTTTTTTTTTACTAAATCAGCAACATTTAGGTTTTCCCACAATCTTTTTGCACAAATCCAGGTGGGCTTTTTTTTGCACATGCATGAAACAAACAAAAAAAATACTCAGTTTTATATATTACACTTTGTGAACTCTCAAATCTAACAGTCCTGTTGAATAAGTCTCAAACACAAAACAGATGAATCGAAAAGAAAATGAGTTTGAGATTCAGTGGAAGTTTTAAAAACGGTTGTTTTTTTTGGCCACTTCAGTRGAAAACAAAACTGAATGTTAGTTTCTTAATTTCTGCATCATTAGTGACCTTTTTTATAAAGAAGAAAAGAAAAAGAGAAATATAAGAACTGTAGAGAGAGAGAAACTGATAGAAATTTGACGAAGTGATATGTACACCAATAACACAAGACAACGCACCCGACGTCTGACTATCAGAAAATGAAGAAAACAAACACCCAGCAACCAACCATAAACATATGTATGTACATATAGCCACATGCACATCTATAAACATACTATACACACATACATATACACATAGACATATATACACATTTACACATCCACACATGCACACAATAATTACAACCTCGCTAAGTAATATACACAAAACCCACACACACACACACACACACACGCACACACACACACACACACACACACACACACATATGTATACATTCAGTGATTTCAGAAACCCCAAGATCTGAATACTTATTTTTGTGCGGTTGTGAACATGCATATAAATACAAGACTTCTCCAGTGGAATATTTAATAGTGACCATGGAGGACCACAGACCCGACCCCCAAGACCCAAGGCAGATATAAGGGGGATCAGAGCCACCGACCCTGAGAAAGACCCCACGCACTGAGCCCCCAAGGCCACCTGCGCAGCCAGAACTGCCCACCCACTCCCCAGAGAGGAACACAGGAGAGACCCAGAACAGCCCCACCAGCAACCACATGCAGAACCCACAGGTCCCGCCAGCCCCCACCACGCCAGAACAGATCCAGGCATGGACACAGAGACCCGGATCCTCAGTGCGCACCCCCCCCCCCCCCCAAGCCAAGGCCCGACAGGGCCAGAGGACCCAAGCCCCATCAGGCAGCCACCAGGCCGAGCCGGCACACGCCCAAGCACCCAGCCACTGAGAGCCACCAGCGCACCGGCGGGCAAAGGTACACCCCACTAGAGGGCAGCGCGGCCGGGGGCCAAGGCCCAYCACTAGCAGTGTTTAAAAAAGTTTAAAAAATGTTAAATTATAAACTAATTCAGATTTTACTTCAGTTCAGACATGTTTACAGCAGCACACTGAAGACATGTATGGAAAAAAATAAACTAAGTATTTAAAGTTTAGCTCAGTTTTCTCAGAATGTTTAAAAACAATTATTTACAGTCTGAATACTTAGATTATTTTAAATAAAAGCTGTATGTACGACAAGGAGCACAGGCTTTATAGTTGGATAATAATGTCATTATATTGACGATGTGATTTTGTTTCACAAAACTTTGCACTAAACAGGGACCTCTTTTGTGCCTGACTCAGAATTTCACATAAAAACTGGTTAGATGGTAATGATTCTCAGACTGGATGATCCAGCAGGAAAAACACTGTGACTCATTGGACAGGCTGATCATGATCTGCAAATACAGCAGAAATGACGAAATGGTTAATAGGGAACAATATCAGCATTTTAAAATGATTCATCTAAAGTCTTACATTGATATTCAGAAGGATAGAAGAAGAGCTCAAAGATTAAATACTTGGACACTCTTGCCAAAGCATTTTGATCAAAATACCTACTTGCAAAATAAAAAGAATTCTGAAAAGCATAAAAATCCTAAAAACTTTATGTCCTTCTCAGAAAAAAGCATGGTATAATTTTTTTTCAAATGTGCAATCATGTCTTTCCACAATGATGTGAGCAAAAAAAAAACAAAACTTGTCATTCTCCTTTTTCTACCACTTATCTGTAGTCGGGTTGTAGAGGCAGCATGTCCTGTTGAGAAACCCAGAAATCTCTCCCCAGTGACAATTTCCAGCTTGTACTGGGGGACCCCAAGGCGTTTCCCAGGCCAGAGAGGAGACATAATCCCTCCAGTGAGTCCTGGGTCTTCTCCTGGGCCTCATAACAGTGGGATGAGCCAACCTCTAAAGGGAGGCATCCTAATCACATGAACCACCTCAACTGATTATTTTTGACGAGGAGAAGCAGCGTGTCCAGCTCCTCCCTCTGGATGACAGAGCTCCTCCCCCTGTCTTGGAGGCTGAGCCAACCTACGAAGGAAGCTCATTTCTGCAGCTTGTAGGATCTAGTTCTTCCAGTCATGATCCACGACTCATGACCACAAGTGAGAGTTGGAACGTAGACCGGTAAATCGAGAGCTTTATCTTTCGACTCAGCTCCCTCTTCACCACAACTGACCGAAGCAACGCCCTCATTACTGAGGATGAGGCCCCAGCTCCATCTCCTGCTCCATCAGGGTTAGATTAATAAAATTCAAACACACTGATAAGATTTATGGCATTCATTGCAATTTCGTGAAGATTGCTTAAAATAATAATTATGAAGTAAATTTTCTTTTTCACATTCATACCTGATGTGTGTGTCCCTAAATTAAAAACTTGTAAGCAAAATATGTGAACAGATATGATCTAACGCTTGCATTTGTTCACCTAAAAACAGCCGAAGTGGCTGAAAACAGGTCAACTGTGCCTGACGTGCATGGAAGATCTTGCAGTCTAACCTGCAGCCGCAGGATTACAAGAATTTTTTTAACCATCTCCCTTATTTGGAAAGATAAGTTAGCCCATCTATCAGACATGCAGAGTGATAGCGGCTACAGCAAAGACTGCTAAAACCAGGTCACGYGTAATAAATTCTGGGACTTCCTAATGTAGGTGACAGATTACGCTTCATTCACAGAGAAAACATTTCAAGATTGTTCTCCTGAGGAGCCTCACTGATCAAACTTTACACAACAAAACTCCCATTTTTTGCTGCCCAAAGAGCAGAAAAGGAGACACAAAAGACTTGGGAGAGATTGCATGTTTCACATGTTCACACACACAGAGTGCCACACATTTGCTTCCCTTCATCCATTAACAGCAGGGTTGGGAGGAAGAGGGTGAGGACTGGGGGTGAGGTGTGGC